TGCCTGCCTTTCATCCAAGGCAAGATAAGCCCTTGCCCTGGGCCTTATGCTGGAGAGAAATTCAAATATCATAAATCAGGGAAAAAAGTCATTTATTTAAAACATGAGCCCCCGTTGGTCAGGACTTGGTGGTGAGGGTTTTGCACATCAGGACTAAACTTGTAATTATATTAATACTGATCAAGTTCCATTTAAATGTTGTAAAGGGTTTTAAATAGTACCGCTGCTGAGGTTAGAAGGAGATTGAATGATCAGATATAACTGATGATCAGATATAACATGGGTACATGCTTAATAAAATATCATTTCCCAGTAGCTAAGCTTTCATTTACTTCTTAAAGTTATAATTGGTGAACTGGAATTACTCAAGAATTAGTGGGGTGACCACAACAGTTACAAGGGGAAGCTTAAAAACAGTTTACAGAAGTTTATAACTCTCATCAAAGGAACTATGTAAGTAGAGACGTAACATAAATTTAGATACTGCTTTAAGATGCAGTACATAAGCCAGGCCAGGACAGCCCTGTAATTCCAGCTACTTAGGAGGCTGAGGCAGGAAGATTACAAGGCCTTCCTGGACTACAGTGTTCAAGGAAAGGCTAGGAAAGAGTGAGACCATGTCTCAAAATAGAAAGACACCTGGGGTAGCTCAGTGCTGAGTGCTTGCCTAAATTGCATGAGACTCTGTGTTCAGTCCCCAGTATGGGAGGAGAGGGGAGAAGGCATAAATACATAAATCAATGGAAACATCTCTCTTTTAATTCTTTATTTATTTTTGACAGGGGGACATTGTCTGAAAACAAACAAAAAAAAATTTATGTATTTTTATTTTATGTGTATGAGTGTTAATGCCTGCATGTGTGTAAGTGCACCCATGTAGTGCAATGCCTGTAGAGGACTGGAGTTACCGGTGGTTTTTAGCCACCATGTGGGTGCCTGGATTAGAACCTGGGTCTTCTGCAGGAACAGCCAGTGCTCTTAACCACTGAGCCCATCTCTCCGGCCCAGGAAACAGCTGTCTTACAGTAAAGTTTTATTTACAGAAACAAGTGGAATCCCATAATCCTTAGTTCTCAGGCCCTTGGGGAAGAAAATGGCAGGATATTAGTGACATCTTAGCTTGAATTAACTGTAGGCACATATTGAATCAAGGTTTCCATTTAAACAAACACATTCAGATCCAATTTAGGTACTGAAGCTAACATTTGATTTCACAAATCCCAGTGAAACCATATAAATAAGTTTGACTTTTACCCACATTTGTATTTAAGTTGCCTTAAATAGATACCCTGAGAGTCCTTTCCCATACATGCTTCTCGGTTTCCCTCGATATATTTTGGCAAGGTCTCATTGTCCCTGTGATGTTGCCAGTGTTCTGTAGGTCCAGCATTGCAGGTAGAGAACTTAAAGCAGTAACAAGTGTCTTCACTTTTTCATTGTCACCATATGCTGCCAACAGCCACAGTCCCTGTGATAAATTACTCCACTATGCTATGTAATCACCTGCTCCTTCCTCTTGGGATGCTACTATTAATGAGATATTCTAAACCGAATTGACCATTCTCTCCCTTGCCATTGTGGGTTTAACCCTCTTTATTAGTCTTCAGCTAAAGAGGAATGGGAGTTCTTCAGGATATAAGCATTGCTTGCCATGTAAATGACCTAAGGGATGTTTCAGAAAGACATTTTTGTGAGATAAGTTAATTCCCTTGGGTAGAAGAGCTTTAGAGAGTGTGCTGGATAGCTTAGTGTCAGCTTGACACACCTGGGTGAGGGAGCCTCAATTGGGGAATTGCCTCTATTGGACTGGCCTTTGGCCATGTCTGAGGGGCATCTTCTTTATGAGTGATGTGGGAGGGCCCATCCCACTGTGGGTGGTGCCACCCCTGGGCAGCTGGGCCTGTGTTACATAAGAAAGGCTGAGCAGGGGCCAGGGGAGCAAGTCAGTAAGCAGCATTCCTCTATGGCCTGTGCTCCAGCTCCTGCCTCCAGGTTCCTGCTCTGAGTTCCTACCTTGGGCTCCCTGATGAACTGTGACACGGGATATGTAAGCTAAATAAACCCTTTCCTCCCTAAGTTGGTAGTGGTCAGAGTATTTTGTCATAGCAATGAAGAACAAACTAGGACAGAGAGTCTTAGAGTTTTAGCTTTGTTTTAACTCTGTTAATCACTTTTTACCTCTCTGACAAAATATCTAAGAAAACAATTTATGGGTGGAAGAATTTATTTTGGCTCATGGTTTAAAAGGTTTTAACCCATGGTCACTTGCCTCCATTGTTTATGGGACCATTCATGGTGAGATACATGGCAGGCCACATATGATAGAGCAAAGCTATTCACCTCATAGTGCCAGGAAGCAGACAGGTGGCAGACAAAATTTTACCCTTCAAGGGCTTATCCCCCTCCCTGTGAACCACTATTTCTAACTAGGTCATAACTTCCATAATTCCCCTCTCTTATCAGTAGTCCATTCAATTATGAGTCCATCCATGGATTAATCCACTGTTTATTCCACAGCTTCATGACAGTGTAAGCCCATCAGTTATCAACCAAGCCTGTTCTAGTTTGCTGTCTGTTGCTACAGTAAACACCATGACCTTTTAAAAGCAACTTCGGAAGGAAAGGGTTTATTTGGCTTACATGTCCTGATCACACTCCATCATTGAGGGAAGCTAAGACAGGAACTCATGCAGGGCAGGAATATGGAGGGCAGTAACTGAATCCCGTGGAGGGATTCTACTTACTGGCTTGCTCCCCACAGCCTGTTCAGCTACTCAAACCATACAGTCCAGGCCCACACACAGTAGACTGAACCCTCCTACATCAACAAACAAGAAAATACCTCACAGACATGCCCACAGGCCAATTGGTTTTAGGAAGTTCCCCAATTGAGGTTCCCCCTTCCCAGGTGACTCTAGTTTGTGTCAACTTGACAAAAACTAACCAACACAATTGACTCTGTCAGCCTGACACACACACATCACTGTAAGCTATACTCTTTTCACTTGTCCCCCAAAATCTCATGTTAATACAATATAAAACAGTCCCATTTGTAAAAATCACATGGTCTTTTAAAAATTCCAGCAATTTAAAAGTTCAAGTTCTCTTTAAAAGTCCAAAACTCAGGCCTGGAGAGATGGCTCAGCAGTTAAATACACTGACTGTTCTTGCAGAAGACCCGGGTTTGAATCCTAGCACCTACATGGCAGCTAACAACTGTCCGTAACTTCAGTTCCAGGGGATCCGACAGCCTCTTCTGTCCTCTGTGGGCATTGCATGATATGGGTGCACTTACCTACATGCAGGCATAACACTCGTATGCATAAAATAAAAATAATAAAATATTTTAAAAGTCTGAAAGTCTCTGAATTGTGGACTCCTATAAAATAGAAAACAAGTTACATGATTTCAAAGGGAATAACCAGGCACACTTAAGCAAAACAGAAGTCTAGCAGTGTAGCTCAATATTGACATCTAGGATTCACTCATGATCCTCTGGACCCCAAAAGGCAGCTCCACTTCTCCAGCTCTGTCTTCAGCACGCACAGCTTGTTTCCTAGGCTCAAGCCTGCCCATTCTCCACTTGCCACTGGACTTGAGCATCATATGGGCCTGGCATCTTCAATATGCTAGGGTCTCCACAGCAACTGAGACTACACCTTCAACAGATAGCCTCTCATGGTGCCAAGCCTCAGTTCCCCATGACCTCTCCAATCCTGGGATTATTGCATCTTCACCAATGGCATCTTCTGGCCGCTATAGTGGCACGCCTCAGTTGTTTTCCATGAGCCCCTCAAAACCAGTACCATGTGAGAGACTCCCACACATTACCAAGTTCAGCTATCAGTTTGGGATGGAGCCCTGGCCCCCTCTGGACCAGTACTGATCCCTGAGGAAACACCTCGCAGAAACATCTTGCCTCCCAGATGCTGGTCTCTTATCAATCACAGCTGATTCTTCAGCCACATCTGACCAGCATTGATTATCCCAGCAAAACAGGTTTTTCACTTCCACAGATCCTCAATTCAAATACATCACACAGACCCAACAGAGTCTTTGGTTCTCTTTGAAACTTCACAACCCAGGCCTCTATTTTCTACCTTTTCTCAGCATTATCCTCCAAGTTCCCACAAAGAAGTCAATTAAGCTCTGAGTACTCAGTGGCTTTTCCAGCCCAAACCTCAA